TATTATTATGCTTTAAAATGTGTTTTTGTTGATTTTAGAGAGAGAGGAAGGGAGAGGGAGAGAGAAGCATCCACCAGCTGCCTCCTGCATGCCCCCTACTGGGGACAAGCCTGCAACCCCCTGTTGGTGCAGAGGAGGCTGCCCAGCCGGCCGAGCCACACCGGCCAGGGCAGTGTAATCAGTTTTAGGACCTTCCCATCACCCCCACGAGAAACCTTGTAGCCATTAGCAGACACTCCCCTCTCCTCGCTCACAGCCCCTGGGCACCTTCCGTCTGCTTTCTGTCTGTAGGTTTGCCTGTTCTGGACAATTCATGTGAGTGCGATCCTACAACACGTGGCCTTTGTGTCTGCTCCTTCACCTGACGTAACGTCCTCAAGGTTCATCCCTGTTGTAGCATTCCTTTTTTATGGCTGAGTAATATTTCATGGTCCGGATAGACCCCATTATGTTTATCCTTTCATCCCTGATGGAAATTTGGAATATCTCCACCTGTTGGCTATTGTGAGTAACTAGGGGCACAGTGCACAAATTCGTGCACCTTGAAAGGAACTGTGGCCGCGAGGCTGCGGTAGGCACAGGAGCGGGTCTTGGCCCATCCTCCGAGTCCCCACCCAGCCCCTCCCACTGCACGGGGCCCATCCCCTGTCTGCCAGCAGCCCCACTCCTGCCGCTGCCACTCCCATACACTGATGGTGCTGGCCCTGTTTGCACCTGCTGATGGCGCTGAGTGATCAGGACCGGCACCAGCAGCAGGTGCGAGTGCCTGGTGGGACCGTGGCGCATGGGAGCAAAGAATTTTCAGTAACCACCAGAGCCTCGCCCCGATGACAGCAACCGGTGCCCTGCCTTGGTCTGGCGCCCCTGCTCACCTGCTCCACAATCCCGCTGCAGCCAACACCCGCCATGTTCCGCACATGCCCCCTGGTGGTCAGCACATGTCATAGCAACTGGTTGTTCAGTTGTTCGGTTGTTCTGATTGTTCCACCGTTTGGTCTATTTGCATATTAGCCTTTTATTATATAGGATGCTGCTGTGAACATTTGTGTACAAGCTTTCTTTTGTGGATGTATGTCTTAATTTCTTGCAAACCTGGCCCTTTTGCAGTGTGAACCCCATCACTGTCCCCTGTCATCCTGTTGAACAAACCAGATATCTGGGGGTTCCCTGACTCTAGTACCTCAGCTTTCCCGGCACCTGCTTCCTATTTTCCCTCATAACACCGGCTCCCCGGGGACAGCACATGCGACACTTTGTTGTCAGCTCTCCAAGGGCAGGGATCTCTGTGTGTTGGCAGCTGTCTGCTCAGAGCCTAGAACAGCTGCACGGAGCAGGTGGTCAATAGATGCGGAATGGATGAACGGACGAATGGTTGAGACCCCCCCCCAACCCCCCAAAGCTAACCCAGGACCAAATTCTATCAACGCTTCATTCTAAATATCTCTTGGCTCTCTGTACTCCTTCCCCCAACACCCGGGCCCAGCACCTGCCAAGTGAATGAATGAGCCATTGGATGAATACACGGAGGAGGGCAGGCCTGCCTGGACATTTCTCTCAGGAAAGCATAGTGGTTGAGAGTGTGGGCTCTGGTGTGGATCTCAGTGGTGTGTCGATTGAGCTGTTTATACACGTGGGGACCCTGACCAGAGTACGCCGGATGTTAAAGGCCCGTGTGCCATACACACGTGCAAAGGCAATGACAAGGCAGTTTGCACGCACTGCACAGGCGCAACTTTATCGTATGTAACACTGATGTCGCTACTTGGCAAGAAGCCTCTTTTGTCTGAGTTCGTGTAAAATGCACTGCTGACCAGCCTGCGTGTGGCTGCTGTGCTTGCAGCGGCTGCTGTGTGTGCAATAAAGCATGTCCCATACACCTCGGCTACTCGAGTCTTCTTCCAGTTCCCGGCGTCCTCGGAGGTCCAGCCCCTAGCAGAGGAGCTCCCACCCAGCAATATGCATTTCAGTTCTCATTCTGGGCACCTGGTAGATTGCACCTGCCCAGCCCTCTTGACACAAGAGTGGATCCTGTGACCTGCTTTGGCCAATGAGATGCAAGTGGGAGTGTAACTTCCGGGTTGGAAGCCAGTGTGTGGTTTGCCATGGTCCCTCCCTTTCCCTGTGCCGTGTTGGGCTCTGTCCGCTGGCTCCTGAATGAATAGATGTGAACCAGAGCTCTCCTGATCCTGGTCACACCCACCTACCTGACATGAGCACATAGCATGAGCAAGAAATAAGTCTTTGATGTTTTAGCCATGGAGATTGTGGGGGTTGTTTCTCCATCTGCAAAATGGGACTGTGTTGGCAGCTGAATCGTCCCAGCCTCCCAAGGCCAATCTGAGAATTCAAAACATTCAGACGTGTAAAGGCACAGAGGCCAGGCTTTCTCACTGGAGCTATTGTTATCATTATTTTTATATTTAATTCTGGTTTTATAGTAATGAAGGGAAAAAAAAAAACACCTTTTGGTAACGCCATTTCCTGGGGCTGTGGTAGGAGGAGCCTGTATTAGTCAACTATGGCTGCCATACAAAACACCGCAGACCGGGTGGTTCAAACCACACATTTTTATTTTCTCACAGCTCTAGAGGCTGGAAGTGCACAATCAAGGTGTCAGCAGGTGTGGTTTCTCCTTAGGCCACTCCTCTTGGCTTTCCGACAGCTGCCTCCTCGTTGTGTGAAACCAGTCCTGTTGGATTAGGGCCCCACCCTATAACCTCATTTAACTTTTTTCCCCTTCACATTTGATATACTTTAATGGACACATTACAGACACCAGACTCCCCTGTGTACACCTCCACCCCATTTCCCTCCTAGCTCTCCAGAGGTGAAACAAGCCAGATTTTGGTGTTTTATCATTCTCATACATGTTTTTACATTGTAGTGTATGTGTACACACCGGTCTTTGTTCTGCACGTTCGGAAAGGACAGTCTTGAATCGGGAGGGATATCTTGGCTGCAGAGGCCTCCTCTGAGAAGCGAGGGCTCCCAGCCCCACACCTCAGGGTTCCAGAGCTGGGAAGACGTCCCTGTAACTTTGGGCTGAAAAAACCAGCAGGGACTGTGGCTGAGTGACACGGAGGCTGCTGGAGACCCAGCAGTTCTTACACGGTCCAGCTTCCTCTGAGCTCCAGTGCTGGGTGGAGGCTTTCAGGGATCCAGAGACACACAGAGAGGAACTGGATGGTCTGGCATCAGGGCAGGAACTTGGGGGTGGTTTGCTCCCAGATGGGGTGCTGACAGGAGGTCATTGTTTCTGTGCTGGGACCTCCCCTGTGGCAGAGCATATCTGAGTTTCCATCAGCATGGACCACACTGTTTGCTCCACCCTGGTGACTCCCTGAGCCCTCACCCCATCCAATTTGCAGCCCCACCCAAGCTGTTTGAGCAGCTTTTCCATATGAATGGCCTGTCCCAGCTCAGGCTCCAAACTTTTCTAAAATCTCTCAAACAAGCAGTAGCCGATATCAGCGTGCCCCAAACCTATCAATAAGAGGCCCAAGACCCCAAACTAGCCCCAGCCTGTCTTCTGGTGCCTCCCTGAGCCCTCACCCCATCCAATTTGCAGCCCCACCCAAGCTGTTTGAGCAGCTTTTCCATATGAATGGCCTGTCCCAGCTCAGGCTCCAAACTTTTCTAAAATCTCTCAAACAAGCAGTAGCCGATATCAGCGTGCCCCAAACCTATCAATAAGAGGCCCAAGACCCCAAACTAGCCCCAGCCTGTCTTGCTTCACAACTGGGCCTCGCCTGGGCACCTCCAAGCCCAATACAAATAGCAGCCATCTGCAGATCTTTCTGTAGCTCCTGCTGGGTGGCCCCAGGCCGTGGCTGACTTTGCACCAGGAGCCAGTGCACCCAGGGGACGGCTTCAGACCATAGCAGATTACAACTCTGCACATCCACAACTGACACACTCCCAATGACCTATTCTAGTTTCTTTTCTTAAAAATATATTTTTATTGATTTCAGAGAGGAAGGGAGAGGGAGAGAGAGAGAGTGAAAAACATCAATGATGAGATAGAATCATTGATTGGCTGCCTGCTGCACACCCTACTGGGGATTGAGCCCGCAACCTGGGTATGTGCCCTTGACTGGAATCGAACCTGGGACCCTTCAGTCTGCAGGCCAAGGTTCTATCCACTGAGCCAAACGCGTCAGGGCTACGTTAGTTTTTTAGTTTCCCGACTCTCTCCCGTCAGAGTATCCCTCCAGGAGAGCATTTCCTCCACTTTGTTCGCTGCCAAAGCTGCAGGATCTAGAACTGTGCAGGGCCACACAGCCTGTTTATTGCTGCATGAATGAATGAGTGAATTAAGGGCCAGAAAGGGGGCTCCCACTTGGGAGTGGGGGTGGGGTGGGGTGGGGTAGAGAAAGGAGTCCTGCCCTGAGGGATTTGGTCAGATCCAGGTGGGGACAACAGGCAGAAGAGGGCCACAGGTTCTGAGAGATGGGTTTAGAGAGGGTGGGCTCTGCCTGAGAGGGCAGGGGTGAGGCAGCCAGAGTAACTGACCAGGACTGTCCTCTGGGCCACAGATCTGTGAGGCCAGCCCTCCCTGCATGTATGGTGGGGGGTTGCCTTGTCCCCAGGGGAAGGGTCTGGGAAGGCAACCAGGGAGGGGAGGATGTTGTGGGCTGATAGTCATGAGTCCCCCCAAGTGGGCGCCTGTGAGGTCTGGCTGGAGGCAGGTCCCAGACCGCCCTCCTCACCCCCAAATATCCCAGTGGAGGAGGAGAGGGGAGGGAAGAGACTGCTTTTCCCAGGCTCATGGCTTAGGTCAGGTTGCTGGGAGGACCAGATGAAGGGCGGGTGGCACACGCAGAGGGTGAGTGACAGGATGGGCCCTGCCCGGTCTCCTGTCCCCGCTGGACACCTGCTGGGGTCTTGCTGTGTCTTCAGCGAGTTCACCCGTCAGCCCCACAGCCCTGCCGGCCTGGTCCTGCCAGGTCCCTGGGGCGGTCTGAGGCCTCCCCTCCCCCGCAGGCCTGGCTGGGACCCCTTCAGGGGGTTGGCACCAGCTGGCAGTAAGGGGCAGGGTCGGGGTTCAGCAGGTCCTGGGGAAAGAGAGAGAGGGGTGTTGTTGGGGAGAGAGTCGGGGGAGACAGAAGAACCAGCTAGGGACTGGGAGACACAGCGGAAAACACACCCAAACAGAGAATGGCAGGCCGAGATGGAGAGAGACTTAGAGACGGAGGAACGGGAAGAGGCAGAAAAGGGGGCAGACAGGGCGACAGAGATGAAGGAACGGGAGAGACAGACACAGAGAAACAAGAGATGTGAGGAGTACAGAGAAAGAGTTAGGGAGAGAAAGATGAAAGGAGGGAGGGGGAGAGAGAGAGAGAGAGAGAGAAAGAATAGAAACAAGAGATGTGAGGAGGTACAGAGAAAGAGTTAGGGAGAGAAAGATAAGGGGGTAGGGAGTAGGGAGACACACACAGGGGTCTGTAGACAGACTCAGAGGCACAGAGAGGGGGACAGAGACCCAGGGGCAGACAGGAGGGGCCTGAAGGAGCTGAGACCCAGGCCCAGGGATGGGCCTTGACCTGCTGTGTGACCCTGGGCGAGGCCCTTCCCTCTCTGGGCTGGTTTCCTCCTGTGACACTCACAGCCTTGGACCCTGTGACCAAGGAGGGAACTGCAGCCTCAGGAGGGGAAGGACCTGCCCAGGGGCTCCCCGAAGGCTGTCACGGGCACCCCGGGGGCTGCAGACCCCCAGGGGAGAGCGGGGGC